AGATGACAAGTTCCCTTTTTAAGTAACAAAAGTCATCCAAGAGTCTTTCCACTCGACGTTCATCTTTTGATGGAGAGACTTTCGAAGGCAGCTCCAGGGCAGTAATGATAAGGCAATCAGCTGGTATCTCAAAAAAGTTGTGCACCAGATAAGTCATCAGATAGTTGGAGCAATATCAATTTTGTTCTGAATTCAAGTAGACACAGGTTCAATTATCAACAAATTTAGGAAAAATGTGTGATTGACCTTGAAATTCGAGGAATTTTATAGAATTCTTCCCCAAACCTCTTCCTTTAACCCATTATTTCCTCTTTTCTTCTTGACAAATTTTGATTGCTAATGATTTATTGCAATGTTTTCCTTTTTGTCAAACTTTTCTTCTTCCCATGCGCTGGTGTCAAAGTTCAATCTCTCCAGCTCAATACTGATCGGTAACTTAAAATGCATCTGAGTCGCATTCAAGACCCTTTTTTTTACTTTCATTCTGTGTTCTCAAACAAAAATCTGTATCTAGCTACAAACATTTTTTTTCCTCTCTCACTCTAACAACAAATAATTTTAATGCAAACTTTTTGACGTTTTGGACCTCACATATGTTTGAAGGTTTTGATGTAATACAATCATTGACAGATTTGAATTCATCACAGCTGTTCAATTAAACTTCAGTGTACCATTCAGAAATTGTAAACAATCATGAATTTTATGCTATTATTGAATATAAAATACATAATATTGTTTATTGTTACACCAATTGATTCTGGTTACAATAAATATATTAATTTATATGATTATGTATTTGTAAACATCTGATAAGATGTCATTTTTAAATTTCAAGTTATCTGTAATTACTCTTATTATTTCTTTGACCTCCTAGTGCTTAGTTTAATTTAAATTCTTTATAAGTTCTAATTAAAGTAACTGTTTATGGAAATTTAATATATTAATGAAAATGAATACAATCATCGTATTCATATACAAAATGGCCCAAAGTCAGTTAATTATTGGGTTGTTCAGAAAGCAAGTTCGTTTTTTTCCGTGAAAAAAAAACAATATTTTTATAAATAAATAAATTTTTTATTGAATTATATATTAACCATTTTGGTCAAATTCCTGTTGTCATCGTTTCTGGTAGTAGCATGATTTCACATTCATAAAAGTTTTTATCGTTGCTTACAAAAAACTGATCCAAGTGATTTTTGACATTGTCATTTCAAGTAAATGTCTTACAGTTAAAAAAATTTGTATAGACCAGAACAAGTAATAATCCTAGTGTGCTCAATCTGGTGAATATGGTTAACATGATAGTACGTCCCATCTAAGTTATAACAGTTTCTGACGAGTTACCAAACTTGTGTGAAATTTGATATTATCGTGGTAAAACACTACACCTGTTTTGTTGATCAATTCTGGCCGCCTTTTCTGTTTGATGATATTACTCAATTTGTTTACTCGATGGCAGTACACTTTCAAATCAATTGTTAAATTGTCTGGTAAAAGCTCCAAAAAAATTTCCTTAAAATCCCATCAAGGAGAGAATCTCTCTTTAAGAACACGTGGAACCCATACTTCAAGCTTTGAAATGAAACCAATTTCTTTCAAAGTAATCATAAACAGTTTAATTTGACAAATTTAAGTCTCTTAGTGATTTCACGTGTCGTTATTTGGCAATTTGCTTCAATCAGTGCCTTTATTTTGTTTTCATTGGCTTCAACTGGCCATCCAGAACGTGGTGTGTCTTCAATATTGAAATTGCCAGAACGAAATTTTGTAAACCAGTTTTGACACTGTCGTTCTGTCAACACATCATCTCCATACATGTATCACAATTTTTTCCTTGCTTGAACAGCATTTTGATTTTTTGGTAATAAAAAAGCAAAATAAGCCAAAAATGATGCTTTCGATCTTCCATGTTTGATGGGACACAAAAAATAAACAATTGCACAAAATGAAACAAAATATTTTTACAAATAAGCCTTAAAATGCTAGCTGTCAAAATATATAATAATAATATGGTTTAGAATGAAAATGGCGGGAAAAATACGACTAATCCGTTCAGTGGTAAAAAAAACGAACTTACTTTCCGAACAACTTAATATTTTTTTCTATGTTTCAGGAATACTTATGAACGTAAATCATGAAGTGAATTTAGGATACTTTATTTTACAAAATAAGCAGAAGCATGAATTAATTGTAAATTTTTTAGCTAATTAATTGAAATTTAATTTTTATAATGGCTAACTGACTTTAGGCAATCTTGTTTTTCATATAGTTTAATGATTGGCATGACATACTTTTCATCCAATAATAATAATAAAATACAAAAATTGTTCTGCATTTAAGTATTATAATGTGTAACAAATTTTAATTTGTTTTTTGTTCTTGGGTAGGAAGTGTTAATTGTTTAAGCCTGAAAAGCATAGAAAATGGTTATTATTCCTTTCAGATTGCTTTTGTAATCAGACAGTGATGTGAATGTACTGTACAGTACCTATTTCTAAAAAGACATCAGGCAAATTTTAGTGTCTCTAAAATAGGCCACAAAAGATTTAGAAACGAGTTGGTTTTTAAGATTTATAATTATACTGTAAATTACTTTAACAAATCAGCCTCCAAATGTCATGTTCTCCTTATACTATCCTTGGTAGTAGCATTCAAGTTATCCTAGTACAGCCTTTTCTGGATAAGGGCTGCAAATGAACTTTGTAGATTCCAGGAAGCCAGGCTTTAACCATGCTGAGTACCAACACACTCCTTAACTACCAGTACAGATACTAAAATAATAAGATATATGCTAATGATATGCAAATTAATAATGTATAGTTTATTCTCATCTTTTTAAAGGTCTAGTATAGTTTAATTCTTCTTTGTTATAAATATCAGCTTATGATTACATGACAACATAAGGCAAAAAACAGGAAAATAAAATTACATTGCCAAAGACCTATGAGTTCATATTAGGATCTCATGAGTTGTATGCAGTTTATGCTCACAGGTTGTTCATTACTATAGTGGAAGTGCTCACCTTGCTTCACCTGGTACACTCCCATGTTCTCCTTAAATTTATTGTACATTAAGGAAATAAACTTTAAGGGACATTCTATGGTCCTTTTTTGCCATAGTTCTTTGTCAGAGTTTTAATTTGCTCCATAGTTCTTAGTTTTGTGATTGCCCAGGAAGCCTGAATCCCTATAACAGTGTTCTGAGCCCTACTCCACCATAATGAGCTTCTTGGGAAATTCCTCACACACACACAATAATCTTTATCTTAGTCAGGGCTGGCACCACCATATGAGCAAACTGGGTATTTGTCCAGAGAGGCAAATTTTCGTAAATTTATACAAAATTCTCTGGTGTATTATTTTTTAAAATATTTAAAAATTTTTAATTATATCATATTACAGGGTGCAAGTTGCATATTGATTAACAGAGCAAGGTATGGCATTTCTAATTGGCATGGGCTTTCAAAACAAATGTTTTTTCATTTTATTTAGGAGGGTAAGGGACAACAAATGCATGTCTTGTCCTGGGCAGCATAAACTCTAGTGCCAACTATGATCTTAGTCCCATGAAGATGCTAACTTTGACCTTTGCCATAGAGTTTAGAGAGACTTTAAGGCTGCCAACTCCTTACCAAGAACCATGACAAATTGTTTCATCATCTAATTTGATGTGTAGTAATGGAATCAGCATCTTTTGGTGTCTATCAGTTGTGCTCTCACTGGACATTGTTCCTTCCCACAGAGAACTTGACCTGATGTGTCCAGTCCCTTCTGTTGTAGTGTTCATTGATGTCCTGCTGTCCAAAGACAAAAATAGAAAGGAAACTTGGTAAAACAACCTTGGAGACCCATCAGGAATACCACCATTTTGAACCTACCATAATAACTTCCTAGAACATATTCATCATACTTCAAGGCTTATAGCAAGGTCTTGATGCTGCTGTATTCTCCCTAGAGGTACAGTACTGTACGTTGAGTGAGCCAGAAAAGATGGGTACTTGTCTCCATTACAGAGCAGCAAGCAAGGCTTTGGATAAGCTCTGGATAAGCTGTCATTAATGTGCCATTTATTCAGGTTACAGGTGATTTTGATTGCACTAAAAGATACCAGTCATATTGTGACAAAAGCAGAGCACATCTTGATTAGTGAAGCTAAAATGTTTGGTGACACTTTCTCTGATCTGCAATGTGCACACTTTCACAGAACAAGTTCCACTGTTTGAGCCTAAATATCAAAATCACTTAGGCAGCAGGAATTAAACTAAACCGATGGGCTTATGTCCCTGTATTATACTACTACTTATAGTATTGGAACATTCTAGAGTTATAGAACTTATTCAGAGTTTATTCAGCATTAAATCTTATCATGAATGTTCTTGAAAGTAGATACATTTCAAAATATTGTCCTTGTCACAAGAGCAAAGTCTGAGAGAAAAAAAATAGCCATCTTATATACTTTTTAGGCATAAGCAACTAAAAAATGACCCTTACTACCCAGGAACAGATGTGTCACATATCATTATATTCAAAATTTATCTAAACATTTGTGATTTTAAACTTTTTGCCAGAAGTTGTAAAAAAAGTTCTTACATTTTCATTTCAGTTTAAAAATTATTATTTTATCAAAATCAAATTTAGGCAATGTATTACCAGTAATTCTAATACCATCCATGAGCAGCAGCTTCATCACTAATTGACATCACACTTCATTAACAATGGATAAATATGACAGATTTTTTTTTTTACTTTGCTACATCGCTCATACTTATGTACCAGATTTACTTGTAAACCTATGAAAAATTTACATGTTAAAATAAATAAAATGACCTCAAATAAAATTTTATATTACAAAAAATGACTTTTTAATAAATTTTTACAATTTTTTATATTTTCATGACATTTTAACCTAAATTCTCATGAAATTTAAATTAAAGATATTTAAACGTTATCACAATTTAATTTTCACACTTTTAACAAAGAATAAAACAACAAAATATCTTTAAATAGAAAACTAAATTAAAAAAAATAATAATAAGGAGAAAATAATTCTTAACTTTTGAAGAAATCTTTTAATTTAAGCTTTTCTATAAAGTTTTTAACTTCATTGCTTAGTTCACTTTGATGGGATAAAAACCATTTTGAAATAATGTCAATACAAGACTGTTTCAATTTTGGCTGCAAAAGAACTAAAGAAACAAATGCAGATTCTTGAATTATAGTTGCTGATGCACTTGAATCTAATAAATCAAATAGTTTTTTTTCAACAATGTCTACATTGTTTTTTCCTAAATTACAACGCAAACTAACAGTTCCAAGCATTTTAGTAATAAACACTAGCTTAGTCTGTGAAATATCATTATTAAAATTTTTCTGATATTTTTCAAATTCTGATAAAAGCAATTTGAAAAATTGTTCTAATATAGACTTATCACGTGAATAAATTGCCAGTAATTCTAATGCCATTTGGGCTTCAAGAAATATTTGCTTAACGTTTTCATTTATTGTTTGTTCTTCTATTGTACAAATTATTTCTTTACCTAAAGATAGGATATCTTCATTATTTGGAGATTTTAATTTACATTTAAGTTCAAGAACAGATTTACATTGTTGATAAAGGGTACTGTTAAGGTTATTCCCTGCTCTAAATAATATGTAAGCATATACTTTTTCTAATGGACTATTTGCTTTTCCAGTTAGAACTGTTGGCCACACTCCTACAACAGTACTTACAAGATAGATAGATGATTCTTTAAACTTAATGAAGAGATCATAACAAAATACACGTGCCTTTTCTAGTTCACCTTTCTGTTTGCACAATCCTACATAAAGACGACATAATGTTGCCAATCCAAATAAGATGTGATGATTTTTAGTGAAAACGTGTGCTAAAAGTGCAGTTTGCAAACTTTGTGCAATATGTTTCAAATGATTTTTTGATTTTTTTTCTAAAAATGTGATAAATAAAATCAAATTTCTTTCCATATTTGTCAAAAGAGGTGGAGAACAATTGCCTTCTATAAAATCAATAAATGCATTCTTCCTTGTCTTCGACAAATATATTAGTAAAGATTTAATAAAAACATCTGCTGATGTTATAACCTTTGGATTTAACAATTGATAGTAAATTTTTAATATTTTATCCTTACAGTTTGCAGAATTTGTATTTAAAGAACCAATCTCAAGCAAAAGTTGATTTGCATGCACATCTATATCCAACCAACTGCTTCCTATTGTCCAATAATCACATGCAACAGTATCATTTTTATTGATGTTATCTAATTTTTGCCGTTTACTTTCAGTTACATCTAAATCATTATTATTATTTCTTAATATTCTTTTCTGAGTCAGTTTTGATTTTTCATTATTTACAGTAAGTTTATTATTTACTAACTTATGAATATTTGAATAATTAGATTCTTCTAAAACTGATGTCACTGAACTAGTATTATTCTGTGATGTTGATAGATTCACTGGACATTTAATTTTACTTGATTTACATTCTGTTGCTTCACTTCTAGTATCAATTTCAACACCTGCTATTTTGTTTTGTTTTACTGAAGTAATATCAGTAGTTTTGCTATTAATTTTTTTAGAGGATGAAACAGAAAGAGAGCAGCTTTTGATACATCTATTACTTTTTAAGCCGGATAAAATTCGACTTCTTAAGCTGACATTTTTTAATTTTGTTTCAGTTCTTTTATGTATTTTAGTCTGACATCCATTGACATTTTCTCTTCCTTTAAAATTTTTGTCTGAATTTTTACCAAAATTCAAACATTTCTGACTTTCCGTTGAATCCAATTTTAAATTATTAATTGTTTGAAATTTATTTATTTTATTGTTCTGTGATGTGATATTACAAGAACTGTTCCTTGTAATTAAATCATCAATTTCTTCATAGTTTTCTTGTAATATTTCATGTTGCTCTATCTCTGAATCTGATGTAAAGTTTGAAGATTTATTCAATGAATCAACATGATCTTTCAGAGGAACTTCTTTCTGCAAATTTTTTCTAGAACTAGTGCTATTGCTTACGTTAAAATTTTCTTGAAATGTATTATTTGAAATATCAGAAACATTTTTATCAAAAGTATTTTTCTTAGGAACTCTTGAAAAATTCTTATTTTTCTGTTGGTTATTTTGATTATAATTCTGTAACTTCTGAACTTTATTTACTTTTTCATCTCTTATAGAACAATTATTATTACAATAAGAATGTATATGATTATTTTCTATTCTATCAGATTTATGATCTACACAAGGAACTTTTGAATATCCTATGCTGAATTCTTTTGTCAAATTATTAAAACCTATATTTATTGTTGTCATTTTATGATTTTCAATGGTGGTATTATTTGCATCATCTAATAAACGTATGTTTATTTTAAAATTTCCATCAATGGGACAGTGAGAAAAATTTGCTTTAAAAGGACATTCTTGTAAATTCTGTGATGATTCTTTTAAATTATCATCATCATGATTTTGTTTATCACAATATCTTGAATCAGTACTGTCATCTTGCTGAAATGAATGTAAATTTCCATTAGAATTAGGGAATTCATCAGCAAAAGTTACTCTTCTCTCACCATTGACATTTTCAAAATGCTCATTCATTTTTGATTGGTTAGTTTCCTCATCATCATTATTTTTAAGTTTCTCAAATTTTCGCTTTTTCTTCTTTCTATTTTCAGTCCTTTTATTAGTTATATCAAAAGTTTCTGGGGTTGATGGAATTGGTGACAATATTTGATAACATTCTGTTTGGCATTTCATGTGAGCCAATATTTTAATTATTTCATCTTCCATTTCTTTATACGAAATTTCTGAATCAATTTCATTTTGAACTGGATTAAAACATTTGCTAGATTTCTCATTATTTTCTGAAGGAATAGTTGTACAATCTTGAATATTAAAATCATGTGAAATATCATCTCCATTTAAATATTCTGATTCACTTTCATTTTGAATTGGAGAAGTGCATTTCTTATTGCTTTCTAATGAAACAGTTTCACAAGTTTCAGTAAGTGAATTGTGCAAAATCTTATCTTTATGTGAACATTCAGGATTAATTTTGTTATCAATTGTGACAGCATTACATTGATTAGATACTTCATCATTTTCTGCAAGTGTTGTTTTGCAGTCTTGATTAGAATTACATGAAACACTTTCTTCATCAGACAAATTAATTTCATTTTTATTCATAGATATACATTTATCAGATTCTTTATTGCTTTCTAATTTAGTAGTATTATATTTTTGAATTTTGGAATTATGTGAACATCCTGGATAAATTTCATTTTGATTTGCAGGGATACATTTAGCAAATTTATTAGTATTTTCTGATGTAGTAATTTTAACTTTTTTAACGACAGAATCACCTGAATTAATTTTACTCTGCTTTAAAAGATTACAATTGTTAACTCCAATATTATTTTCTAGTGAAGTATTTTTGCATGTTTGAATGTTAGAATTATGCAAATGATTTGAATCATTTTCATTCTGATTTGCAGTGATATACTTATCACATCTTTTATCAATATCTGGTGGAGTTGTTTTAACTTTTTGAATGTTGGAATCATTTGAATACTCTGATTTTGTTTCATTCTGATTTGATGAAGCGTACTTGTTAGAACCTTTGTAACTTTCTTGTGAAGACTTTTTACAATTTTGAAAATTTAAATTATGTAAAAAATTTTCTTTACGTGAGTGTTCCTTATTACTTTCTTTTTGAATTAGAGGGCCAGAGTTTTTAGATTCTTTAGCATTCTTTGTTGAATTAGTTTTACAATCTTCATCGTTAGAATTACATGAAACATTTTCTTTACGTGAGTGTTCCTTATTACTTTCTTTTTGAACTAGAGGGCCAGAGTTTTTAGATTCTTTAGCATTCTTTGTTAAATTAGTTTTACAATCTTCATCATTAGAATTACATGAAACATTTTCTTTATGTGAATGTTCTTTATTACTTTCTTTTTGAACTAGAGGGCCAGAGTTTTTAGATTCTTTAGCATCCTTTGTTGAATTAGTTTTACAATCTTCATCATTAGAATTATGTGAAACATTTTCTTCATTTTGTGCATTATCACAATTATTGACTTCATCTGTATCTTCTACTCCTTCCTTAATATCTGAAATTTTGAAACAATTCATTATTATATAAGATTAGAAATTTTTTCAGATATTTTATTTTTAAAAATTTTCTGCATTCATTAATTAATAAATAAGAATTTTTAATTTCAAAAAATATATAAAATCACTACCAGTTAATTAACAAAATACCACATTTTAGAGATTCAAAAGTTTCACTATTAAGCAATTATAACAATTAGATGAAAATATTTGCAATATCTTTGACTCACCAGACAGAATAATATACATTTAAGTGCTAGTAATAAATGAAATGTTTAATAATTTTATTCAAGTTATATCTTTGTAACTTACAATACAAATTTTTTAATATAGAAAATTTTAAAAATTTAATCTATCAGCTTTTTTCACTAATGCATTTTTTAAAATTTTCTTTACTAAAAATTTTATATGATAATTTATAAAAGTATAACCTGAATAAAATTAACAAACATTTTCTTATTTTAAACATTTAAGAATATGTTATTCTGTCTAACTCCTAATGAAATAAGACAAACTGTTAATATTATTTTCAAAATAATCATTTTGTTTAGTTTTGAATGAAATTTATAATAGAATTCTCAATAAGACAAGTATTAATTATTATATATAAAAAAACTTTGATGAACTTTTATAATGAAGTTTAACAAGAAAGTCTATAAACCCTTACACATAAAAATGTTTGTTAACTCTATTTATTACATTAAATAGCTTCAGATGATTCTAGAAAATGAAATTTTAAGAAACATTTTCTTTTTCCTTATAATTTTATTTTCTAGAATCATACTTAACAACAAGATTTAAATATTTTGTTTTAGATAATATATTGGGTTAAGCTTATTTAATCTAATAGCTATTAATAATATAAAAGGTGTGTATGTGTGTATGAATTCCTTACAACTCCTGCAGTTTTTGTCTAATCTAGATGAAATTTTATATTAATTTTATGTTCTGACAAAAAGTGTAGGCTACTTATTTTGTGGAAATATTAGCTATGAAATGAACATTTTATTGATTTCAGAGCTGTGATCGCATTTACATTGTAGTGCATCAGTGACATTTAATTCATGCTTGACAATGGAATTTCCCTTAAGTTGCAATTTTTAAATATTTTGGCAAATGCAAATGGAGTATTTTAAACTTACTTCATTAAATTTAAAATTTAAACTTAAAAAAAAATAATAAATAACTGCGTCATGTCACTTCTATAACAAATTAAAAAAAAAAAATCTTTCTACAGTGACCACATGATGCTCTATTATCCAATCAGAAATAACAATCTGTTATTTACAAAGTATTAGAGCACATCAATTGTATAACCTACTTAATTTGTAGAAATATTAGTTACTCTTTTCTAAATTTCATGAAATCTCTACTCTTCTCAATTCTTCAATCTCCGTCATGCTTGACAGGAAAATTTCTAGTTGGATTATACTTCTTTATATTATTTTTGTATGCTTTTGAATTTTATAAAAATTGCATAAAATATGAATATTTTTTATGTTTTTCAATATAAAATGTTCATATAAACAAACAAGCCTAAATAATTGTCACAGGTTGATTTTGTTACTCTTTAGTGATTCATAGATGCAAGTGATGAATGTGCTATACAATGTGAATATACTTACTTAACTAACAAGTTAAATAAACTTAATCAGTTTCATAAATAATTTTATTAATTTTTTCTATTAAAATAAAAAAATGTGATATATATTTTTAAATTTATTTTTGGAAAATTTTTAGAAATAATTTGATCATTTATATTAATTTAGTGATTTGAAAAAAGTGAAAAGGTGTTCAGGTATATTTATGCAAATTAGAATTTACATACATTTGTCCATTTCTCCTGGGATAATGTGCATGTTGGTAAATATAGAATCTAAAGCAATAAGTAGTGTTGTAACTTCAAATTAATGGGCACAGGGGCAAACAGTTACAAGTGAGCTCTTCCCTATATAGTACCTAGATCACAAATCAGAATAAATTTTTGCATACTGCTACTGCAAGTATCAATATACAGAAAATTCATCATAGACTAGATAGATATATGCAAGTTTAAGACTTTAAACTGCTAAATGCTTTTTGCTTACATTCCAAGATGGTAAATAAATATCTTCCATAAATTTTATATTAAGTTACTATGTTGATCATTAAAAAAATCCAGTCAAGTGGTTCTTCAACTTGATGGGCCTGGAGGTAAGTGCCTCTTCTACCTACCCTGTAGTTACACCCCTGGCAATAAGCCTTTTTGCCAATCTGAAATACTATACTGTACAAATTAAAATTTCTTTTATTTTGTGAGTTAATTAACTGATCTAGATACAATTTTCCAAATGCTTACATTTATAAATAAGTTCAGTAGTAAGAGTATTGTGTTTGTTTTATTTTAACACCAAAGTACAGTAGCATCCCGCTAGTCCAAACTAAATGGGATCTGTTCAGATTAGCCAAATAATTGAAATAATGCAGAAACAAACAGTAAAACAGTTTATATAGATCAAACACCATCAATAACTTTTGTTTCTGTTTTTGTGTGTAAGTACAATATAGATCTGCTGTTTTAATGGGCCATGTCAAACACTGATTTATTAATTTTGTACAGTATTAATACAGTACTACAATAAAATACAATTTTTTGTTGTTGTGGAATTCTAAATCTTTTTGTGCAATTAATACGAGACTTAGAACCGAAAAAAAAAAAAAAAAAAGTATGTTTACGTTTGAGCGTATTGTTGTGTTTCTCTTATTGTTATTTTGTTCTGCCTGTGAAGTTCTGGGCATCCTTCAACATCTCGAAATGATGAAAACATTGAAAAAATCTGCCAAAAAAGTGTTAAGACGTCTGCGAGAGGAAATGCAAAGGAAACGCCCAGAACTTTGGCAATCAGGTGACTGGTTCCTTCATCACAACAAAGCCCCTGCACACACGGCATTACGAGTGACCCACTATTTGGCCTCTTGAGGATGGCCTGTTGTTCCCCACCCTCTGTATTCACCAGACCTAGCCCTGTGCGACTTTTTTCTGTTTCCGAGAATTAAGAAAAATCTAAAAGGGAAGCATTTTGATGATGTGGAGGCGGTAAAAACATCTTCCCTAAGGGCACTGGACGATATCAAGGTTGAAGAGTTCCAGAGATGCTTCAAACAGTGGGGAAAAAGACTTCACAAGTACATCGCATCTAACGGAGAGTACTTTGAAGGTGACTATTTATTAACTTTTTTAAAAAATTTCTTCAAAGTTTTTATACAAAAAATCCGGTTTTTTTTGTCTCCCCATATACCATTGAAATTCAACTGGAAAATACAAAAAACATATATTTTGTGAGCTAAAAAATTTCCTCTCCACCGACTGAAACATGTTCGGATTAGGTGGTCATTCGGACTAGCGAAACTCTACTGTATTAGCCCTTGTTATGTTTTTCTAGTTATATATATTGAACTAATTGATTTTAATTTGTTATCCATATATTTTTTGTTACTGTTATTTTGTAAGTTAATCACATTGTTAACATTTTGATTTTATTATACAGTATTTATGTATTTTATTTATTGTTTTCATGTCTTAATTTATTATTTATGACTTTTAATTGTTATTTTTACCTTAAATTATGTATATCTGCTGTTTCATTTGATTGAAATAAGTATTGTTTAAGATCTGGAAAAAAATTACTTCACTTTCCATTATTTTTAATTGGGACAATTGATTTTGACTCAAACAACTCAGAGTTGAAATAGTCTCCTGGAACAAATTAAATTTGAAATATGAGATTACACTGAATTTTAAAATCAGCAATATTTTCAATTATATTGAAAAAATTTTTGTATCAAGTAATAGTGATATTAAATAGTTGATGGTTATTGAATTTTTAAGGTTTTTGTTATTTGAACAAAACTTTTTATATGAATCTAATCTCTTGCAAAAATGGAAAAACTTTTTTCCATATACATTTGATGATTTATGCAAATACATATAAAGAAAAATTCAGTTACAAATTGCTTAACTTTCCCTGTAACATTTAAAATTGTGTGTGTGTGTGGTGCCATCTGTTACAATATTTTATTAAAAACTTTTTATATTTTTAATTATTATAAAATGGTAAAAGCTTAATTTTGAGAGTTAAGATGGGTTTTATAAAAAAAAAAACTAAATGCTAATAATGAGTAAAATCATCATTAATTTAAGTCTGATCCTACTCAATTTATGACACACTATCCCCCTTTATCTCTCCACCCCCTCGGCCTTTAACCATCAAAATTTAATAGCATCAATCCCATAATACACAAACCACCCTGCAAAATTTTAGAAATTTTTGAAAAAAAAACACAGGAGTTATTAAGTTTCAAAAAGGGTGAACAAAATCATGCCACACACACACACACACACCATACATACAGAAAAACCCCCAAATTTTTTTTGTATACTGTAAGATCTCGTTTTACGCGATTTTGAAGTTGTGCGGTTTGTATTTCATCCAAAATTTTTTTGGACAAACATACATATAGGCTTGTTTAGGAAGCCCACGTATAGACAGTCTCCAAAAATCGTGGGACGCTCAAAGCTCACTCCATTTGTTCCACTGACATATAACCTTTATGGATGTAAAGGACAGCTAGATCTACCTTAATCGCTTTAGTTCCTAGCAATTTTTGATATAAATGTAATTAAACATTAAAAATACTTAAAACTAAAAAAAACAAAAGAAATGCATTAATTTTGAAGAAAAAGCTTCAAAGTTTAACTTCCTTTGTCTTGCCCTTCTGTGAAATTTAACACCGATGAGTCATTGTTTACACATCTGGATGACCTTGAACACAGCTGGAGTTGGATTTCCCGGGGCATTCTCATAAACGTCGCGGGAGGACAAGGGTTTAAAGTAGGGTGAAGCTGGCCGTATATTTTTTAATATTTTTAAAAAATTTGGAGACTTAAAAAACATTCCAAAAATTCAAAAAAAAAATGTAAAACTATATTACTTTTCAATAAAATAAACTGAATTAAGTTTGAATACAAGTTTATTTTAAGCTTTTATATGAATTTCTTTCAGACATTCCAAGTAATTCATTAAGCAGCCTATTTCTTTTAATATCTGAAAACTTTTTTTATGCGGTTTTAAGTTAATTTTAACTCGTTGTTTTTGTTTTATGCGATTTTAGAAAATTACGGAACGTATCCCTACTTTTTCAAGGCAAGTAAAGTCTTTTTTTATGCGAATTTTTTTTTAATGCGCTTTTCTGTAGAACGTATCCACCGCATAAAACGAGACCTTACAGTATCTAGATGTTTCAAGGTCTCAATTCCAAAAATGAAAAAATTATGGGGTTAGTTTTCAATCAATCACCACACTTTCCCTCTGTTATATATAACAGAGCGGGAAAGTAGTGACAGAAACATTATGAATAGTATTTATGATAAGAGAAAATTTTTTTAAAAAAGTATGTTCTAAGAAAATTTTTATTTATAGCAAAATTTAAAAATAAACTACTACATCCTGATATTTCTTCTTTTAATTTTGACTAAGAACATCACAAACCACAAGGGCTACACTGTGCAACCCTAAACAACAATCCTCATTAAAATCTCTGTTTCAGGCATAAATATCTATTTACTAGAAATTTTCCCATCAAAGCATGATAGACTAGTTTCTATGAGAAAGTAGAGATTGAAGAATTGAGAAGTATACAGATATCAAGAAATTCAAGAAGAGTTGCTAAAGTTTCTACAAATTAATTAAGTAACCTATACTGACTGTCAATACATAGTTAATGTGCGATAATACATTTTAAATAACGGGCTCATTAGATTGTTACTTCCAATTGGATAATAGAATGTCACGTGGTCACTATAAAAAGTTTTTTTTTAATTGTTGTAGAAGTGACATAGTCTTGCTATCTTTTTTTTTAAATTTAAATTTAATGAACTTTAAAAAATGCCATTTGCCAAAATATTTAAAAATACAACTTAAGGAAAATTCCATCGTCAAGTGTGAACTAAATGAGGTGAATGCTGTCACTGCAACATAAGTGCAATCACCAATCCTAAATCAATAAAACCTTTATTCTATAACTGATATTCCTACAAAATAAGTAGCCTATACTTTCTGTCAGAACATAAAACAAATATAACCAAAATTTCATCTTGATTGGACAAAAATTGCAGGCATTATAAGGAATTCACACACATATACACACAAATGACAGCTTTTATACTATTAATGCCTGACTAGATTACAGATTGACTCCTATTTCAGGCATAAATATCTATTTATGCCTGAAATAGGAGTCAACCTATAAACTAGTAAACTAGAAATGACACTTTAGCACACACTGTGATCAGATTGCTAATCAGATTGAAAACTAAAGAAACACACAGAATGAACTTAAATACTGGAGCTGTCATAAATGACATCTGGCAGCCTTTCCTAAGTAGCAAAGCCCATTAAGTTATCCTACCACCCTCCCACCTTAACCCCCACTGTGCAATTCTCACCAACCTCTGTATATGTTACAAGGATCACTCACTTCTTTGTAACATCTCCCATCAGACCTGTTCTCTACACATCTCTTCCGTACTATGTCACATCCTACAGGTATTACGTTATTAATTTTATAAATTACACCTTTTTAATATATACTTTTTTAGTTTTGTGCATACCACTTTTTAATTTAACACACATTATACTATCCTCAGGTGTCTGTATATTGAACCGATAGCACTATATGCTCATTCCTTCCCCTCCTTTTTTAAATATGTGTATATATATCTCATGTGTCATACCAGCTTAATGGTCACTATCTCAGGTAATTGTATTATATCATATAAATCACTGTACGCGTATACTAATTATTTAAATGAATTCTGTAAATTTTGATACCTGTACCAATTTGATAATTATGTAATAACAATAGGACTGAAGAGGGGCATTAAGCCCAAAATGCATATCCGTCCAAGCCAATAAAGCAACCTTTTTCCTCTTAAAGTGTTCCTGTATGATATGTTCTCAATGGCAACATTGTGCTAACAAAACACATATAATAGAGAACAACAAGCAACCTTGATTCAAGATTGCTAATAGATTATTTTAAAACATGTCATATGACACTGATTAATTTTATTCAGTATGAAATGTCAAATCTTTCAAAATCAAAATTTCAATAAATATATTTTATTGGTACTTTTCTGTTAACGGGACACCAGCCGACAGGATAGGATTCAATCTCTGAATGAGGGATTTCACATCACCCCCAGAATTGTTGACCCTTCAAGAGATATTTGCCTCCAAAGATCAGTTTTTAACATATATCCGTAAACTGCCTAATCTACATGCTTTGCATGTAGTCGTATGCTTTGGTGTTCACTATTACTTGCACTCAGTGCCCAACTGGAGGCAAGCATATTATATAGTTTTAGGGAACACACCCCTTAAAACTAAACATCATGTACTCCACAAACAGTCAAGCGGGCTACTCAAAGTCGGCACAATCACACAAGCTAAATAGTTAAAAGCAGTAGTCTTAGCAAATGATGGTGTTGCACAACAGATTAATGTTACAACCAGCATCCCATTAACAGAAAAGAACTGTTTTATTTTTAAAATCATAAAATATCAAATTTTATGATTTTAAAAATAAAATATATTTATTCTGATAGACAATACAGTTTACAAAAATACATAAGTTGTATTTTCTGTCAGAATAAAATTAAGAATTATAAGAATGTTATTGTTGAGTTAAATGTAGTGTTCTTACCATCATTTTCCCTACTTCCATTTAAATCACTTGAGTCAGTTGCATTGTCATTTTGTATTCCATCTACTTCACACACTAAATCTTCTAATTCCATCATATCTGGTGATACACAAATATCTAGATCATCTAATTCTACATCATCCGGAGTAAACGAACCTTTGGAATAAATATCAATAATATTTTTGTCTTTCTTTTTTAACATTCCTCGCTTTTGGAGTTCTTCACCAAATTTTAGCAGATACATTAATGTTTTTTTGTAGCGTTCGTGTAATTTTTTCTTAGAGGTTTTTTCTTGTTCTATCTTCTCTCTGATGTTTTCTATAGTCTTTTCTTTTCTCTCTACTTCTTTTTCCAGTAAAACTATGTTTTTGTTATTGGTATCTGAAGAATCTTCATTCATATTCTTCAATAAAGCATCATACTGCTCCATCAATTTTTCAGAAGCATTTAACTTGGTCTGTAATGCTTCTACCCTTTCAACTTGTTTTGCATTTTCTTCTTTAAGCAAGCACCAATTAGTTTTCAGAGGTTCGATTTCTTGTAAAGATTTACTTAAATTATTTTCGTAGTTAGTACATTCTTGACGTAGTTTTTCCACCATAAGAGTCAAATTTTCTAACTTTTGTTTCTGTGCTTCGTTTTCTTCGCATTTAACGCTATAATTTTTTATAATTGTATCAGTTGATATTATTTTACCTTTGATAGCAAAATAATTGTCAGACAAAATGTCCGGTTTATTTTCAGTAGACATTTCAGTTTTTGTCTTCATCACGTTTCAAAACACAAGAAAACAAATGCACACTTCCCTTCATAATATCGTTTTTTTAGTCAGTGTTGCCATCTCGAGTAAATTCTCTTGATTAGTTTTTAAAAAATTGCTTATTTTATTTCAACTATTTCAGTTATTTTATACACTTATAAATGTAGATTATTAAAACATGTATTTAAATTAAGTTATAAAATTAAATTACATTGATTTATAAAAATAATATGAAAGTAATTATGGTTGTACATAGCGATGCACAGGAAACGATGATTTCTTTAGTTTTTATAACATATAAAAATAGACAGTTGTGCAATTCCAGAAAAATCTTAGTGATTAAATAATATATAACACTTAATAAGAACAAAAATTCAATTAAAGCATGATGTAACGCTTTTCATGTATTTCTATATTTGACGGCCGGATGGCCGAGAGGTCAAGGTGGTAGCCTACCGCTCTGGGGGATCCGGGATCAAAGCCGGACGGGTCCGTCCAGATAAATCGGGCCACGTCCCTCATCATCCCGCTGCCCATTGGGGGCCTGGCCAAATCCATAATGGGTTTGCTAAAAGAAACCTTTTGGTGTCCACAGAGCGGAAAGAGTTTTAAAAAAAAGTTGATATTTACACGATACAGTGCATTATAAAACGTGGGGTGAAAGGGATCAACAATTGGTTCGTCTCATTCATTCTGTTCTCTTTAATTTTAATGATTTCTAAATGCCCATAAAGTTTTCTTTTAATATATTTTTTTCTTTGCGGAAGAACATTAAAAACCAAGATTAGAGATCATCTTTGAATAATGCAATACAATTACTCCACAGTTTTCATACATTGTAATTAATGGGTTCTTTCTTTTGCTCTTTCTGCCCTGTAGGCACTAAGAAGGCTTCTTTTAGCAAACCCATTATGGGTTCGGTCAGTCCCACAATTGGGCGACCGGGTGGTGAAGGACGGAACCTAATATATCCGGTTGGATCACACACCGAAAAATTCCTGTTGATTTTTCGACCCGTCCAGATTCGATACTGGCGTCTAATTACAGAACGATTCCGTAACCATAGTTCTGTTTTTTACCACGAGATGTCGCTACTTTGTGACGTAAATAAGCTGGACAACCATAATTCTGACTGTGCTGTAAATACACTACAGTCAGAATTAATTTATTACGAACAAAATTTGCTACTGTTCGTTTGTTGAACGTCAAATTTCTTTTGTCTAATGTTCAATGTTTATATTATAGCTTTAAAAGATGATTATTGTTTATTATTTTTATCAAAATATTTAAAATTATACAGTATTTTATAAAAGTTATTCTACAGAATATGTAGACTTTCGTTCTTAAATTCTTTTAATCTCAAGATTTTCCTGCTGAATTTTCAATCTCTTACTCGAATTTTTTTTTGTATTATTTAATAAAATTATTCAT